CCCACCACACATTCCACCACTCCACACACATCCCTCCCATCATCCACTTCTCCCCTTCATCCACCCCGCCCCACCATTCACCCGACTACCATCATCCACTTCACTCTCACCACCTCACCCGCCACACCCCCACCACCTTCCTCAGTGAATCGCAACAGTGACAACGGCAATGGCGCTGAGCTATATTCCGATTTACACGTAGTTTCCCTGCAAAGTCACGAATTGTAAGGAGAGGGGCACTGTATCATTCATTTCAGAGCGTAGTTACTACTTAATCTTTTGATACTGAAGCTCCTGATTGTATGATAATCTCTCTCTCTCTCTCCCTCTCTCTCTCCCTCTCTCTCTCCCTCTCTCTCTCTCTCTCTCTCTCCTGCCAGTTCGCGATCTTGAAGTGACACTCCGTTTTAATCGGAGAATATATATAGATTTCTATAAGAAGGGGCCGCTTTGACAGCTACTCTTTGGCAACACAATTGCACGTTAAGTCCAGTGCGTCCATTTACATTTACCCCATTTGTAAATGGCTTCATCAGCATCTCTTGCACGACGTTCATCACCCAGCATGACGTTCATTCGTTTCGCTATCTGTCAAAGTGGTCCCTTCTTAGAGTAACTTGTCTACACCTCAGGCGGAGCGAAGGTTAAGAGGGGATTGTGTGTGTGCGCGCAGGGGCAGACACCGCTGCACCTGGCGGTGGAGAAGGGCGACGCGGCGGTGGTGAAGCTGCTTCTGGAGCGCGGGGCGGACGTCCGCGCCGTGGCCAGGAACGGACGCACGGCGCTGCACGTGGCGGCGGAGCACGGCCAGGTCAAGGCCATGGAGCTCATCCTGCAGACCGGCGCCGAGCAGGTGCTCTTACATTCCACCAAAATACCAGCTTTCTTTATCCTTACTCTTAATTCAGTTTTCCTATGAGTGAAACAGAGACTACGTATGGCATATGGGATCGGTGGGGTGGATGGTTGCTAGTTGTTTCGTGGCAGGAAGGATGGATGTATTACCAGTTGTTTTCTAGCAAGTGGGGTGAATGTGTCTCCAGATGTTTTGTGGCAGGAGGAATGGATGTGCTGCCAGTTGCTTCGTGGCAGGTGAGATGAATGGGTTGCCAATTGATTCGTTGCAGGAGGGTGGATGTGCTATCAGTTGCTTCGTAGGAGCTGGGGTTAATGGGTAACCAAAAGCTTCATGGTAGATAGCGTGGATGGGATGCTAGTTGCTCCGTGGCTGATGAGGTGGATGGGTTGCCAGTTATTTTATGGCAGACTGGGTGAATGGGCTTCCAGTTGCTTCGTGGCAGGTGCGGTAGATGAGTTGCCAGTTGCTTCGCGGCAGATGAGGTTAATTGGTCTCCAGATGCTTTATGGCAGGTAGGATGGACAGGTTTCCTGTTGTTTGTGGGAGTTGGGTTGTCAGTTGCTTCGTGGCGAGGGGTGGATGATTGCAAGTTACTTCGTAGGAGCTGTGGTTAATGGGTTACCAGTTACTTCGTGGCGGATGTGGTTAATGGATTGTCAGTTACTTCGTGGGAGATGGCGTGGATAGTTTGCTACTTTCTTCGTGGTGGGTAACGTGGCTGAGTTACTTGTTGCTTCGTGCTAGGTCAGATGAACGTGTTGCCAGTTGCTTTGGGGTGGATGGGTTTCTATTTGATTCGTAGAAGGTAGGCTGGTTGCTTCGTGGCAGGTGAGAAGGATGATTTGCCAGTTGCTTCGTAGGAGGCGTGGTTGATGGGCTCCCAGTTACTTCATGGCAGGTGAGGTGGCCGAGTTATTAGTTGCTTCGATGCAGATGGAGTGGATTGGTGGCCAATTGCTTCGTGGCAAGTGGAGTGGATGGGTTTCTAGATGATTCGTAGAAGGTAGGCTGGTTGCTTCGTGGCAGGTGGGGA